TGATTTCTCTCCATTAAACAGTTTCAGTTAAACAAGTCCATTATCTTAGATCCAGTCCTCTTCTTCTGCGATCTCCTTCAATGCTGCAGTCCAGTGCTGGTAGGCTTTTCTCTCTAATTCTTTGGAGTCCTCATCCATATCTCCCCCTTCTTCGTTTTCTAAAACAAGGTTCGCTGAAAGGCTTTTCAGCAACAAATTTCGCACACAAATAATTATACATGGAATGAAGGTTAAAATGGCCACAAAGGTAAATAGGGAAATTATACCTATAATTATCAATTTATTTATCCAATTGGGTGAAGAGAGAAAATGTAACCAATCAAATAAACCATTCAAACCTTTATCTTGAGAAACATGAATATCATGCACCAAACTTTTAAGTTTATTAATACTTTGATGTATAGACTGAGAGTGGTCTGAAAAATCCATGCAGCACATCCCCTCAAACTCCTGACACCTGTGTCCATGTGCCAGGAGTAAAAAGTTGATGGCTGCACGATTTTGCAGACTTACTTCTTTCAGTTTTCACGTGTCTGCTAACAATCCTTCAATCGCATTGGTGGTTGCATTTGTCTCTTTAGTTAACCAGCAACCAAGATGAGTAAATAGCGACAGTGCGTGGGCTGTGCCTATTCTTGGGATTGGAAAAGAGGCCCAGAAATATTTCATGCAAGACCAAATATGAATGTTAGAATTGCAGTCTTCAGGGAACAGCAGAGGTGGTGGTGGAGTAATGATATCAAGTACTTCTCTTTGAGGTGTTGTAGGGATAGGTGTTTGAGAGATGGGAGAGTTTGGAGTCTTTGGTTTAGCAGCAGACGGTTTTGGATTTTTTGGCTTAGGAAGCCTGAGTGGGATATTAAAAGGAATTACTCCTTGCTTTTTGACTCTTTCTTTAGAGATATGTGTTTGATCAGAAGAATCGAAATTTTGCTGGATTAAAAAGAGCTAATTTCTCCACTGTGCAAGGACCTCCTACTGGATAGGCAGGAATGCCTTGCCAGGCTCGGTCTCCACATAGTAGGAAAAATCCTTTGGGAAGCTTCGTATCTTTGGCACATGCTCGGTGGCCACTGTAGTGGCAACCAATTGGTTACACCACAGAGAAGAGGTCCCCTGATAAACTGGCTGAATAGCAGATACGTTATGAGGAGTAAAAAGTTTATGATTAGTGTATTTATGAAAAACAATGCAATAACTGGTAGGGAGAGGACCAAGAAGATCAATTTCTTGGGGTGGATTTGAGGTAAATACTTGACGTGAGATAGACTGAGATAGAGTTACTGAATTTAACGGAATACTGCCAGAGATATAACTTTGGGATAGAAATGTGTTCCAAACTTCACCTGGGGTGATGGGAACGCCTACCAGGCAGGATTGGAAAGGATTTTTCGCACAAGCCAAGCACAGGGTGTCTGTGCCCGTGGCTTTGGCCAATGATACCCACAAGTTTTCTGAAGGTTGTTTCATCCATTCCCGGATTGGAAATGCAGTCACAATCTTCAAGAAGAGGAGGGTAAGGAGCATTCTTGATAGAATTTGATTCTTTTTGATGGAATCCATCAAAAATCCGTGATTCTTTTTGAGGCCCCGTACCTGTCAAAACACAAGCATGCCCTCTCCCCCAGGTGATTAGGAGGACAGGGTCCATCCATTCTCTGATTATTACATTACGTTATTTAACTTTTGCTTTGGTAATTTATGGCTTATTTTTAGACTGGAAATGTCTCTGTGATGTGGTTAAATCATCTTCAGTACGATTTAAACAATTTAAAACGTACATAGCTTTCTGTAATCATTCTTGAGGAGTGAGTCCTTGACTCCCCCTCTTTTGTCTTTTTAACATGTTTTTTAGTGTTAAGTGTGACCTCTCTACTATTACCTGGCCTGTAGGATTGTAGGGAATGCCAGTTTTATGATGGATGCCCCACAATGCTAAGAAATCTTTGACTGATTGTGAAATGTAGGCTGGGCCATTACCAGTCTTAATTTCTTGAGGAATGCCCATGTAGCTAAAGGCGATAGTAAGATGTTTTTTTACGTCTTTGCTTTTTTCTCCAGTATGTGCCGTTGCTACAATATATTTTGGAAAGGTGTCAATAGAAACATGGACGAATTTACGTTTACCGAATTCTGGAATATGGGTAATGTCTGTTTACCAAATTTGGAGAGGTGCCAATCCTCTGGGGTTTGTTCCTTCTGAGTGTAAAGGGGTGGTCAATTGACAATAGGGGCATGATTTAATTATTAATTTAGACTGTGCATGTGTTATTCCAAATTGGTTTTGTAGCGCTCTTACATTCTGGTGAAAAAAGTTGTGTGACAATTTGGCTTGTTCAAAGGATTGTGGGACTGTGCTAAAACCGGTAAGATGATCTGCTCTACGGTTTCCTTCTACCAATGGTCCAGGCAATGTAGTATGAGATCGCAAATAGGTAATAAAATATGGCATTTTTCTGTTTTGTACTAGAAATAGTAACTTTTAAAAAGATGGAATAAGGTTTGATTGTCAATATCTTTAAGATAAGAATTTTCAGCTCTTTGAATGATTCCCACAACGTACTGGGAATCAGATACAATGTTTAAAGCTTCTTCTGCAAAAAAAGTAAGAGCATGGACAACTGCAGATAACTCCACTATTTGTGGAGAACCGGATACTTTGTGAATATTTTATTGCCAATTGTTTTTGTCCTTCCATATTACTAAAGCATTGCCTGTTCTCCCAGAGCCATTGGTGAATACTGTTTTGGCTCCTGGGATTGGGGTATGAGATAAATTGAATTTTAATTGTAAAGGAAGTTGTCTGATTCGCTGTATGAATTTACATGCAGGAAGATGAATTTTTATTTAGCCAGTAAAATCGGATATGGAAATTTGAAAAGGTTCATTAGTTATCTGCAGTTGTTCTAAATATTCTGATGTTAAAGGAAGATACAGTGTTTGTGGGTCTTCTCCTGACAGTTCCCAGCATCGTAGCCTGCCTTTGAATATTAGTTTGCTGAAGATTTCTTGGTATGTTACCAAAGTTTTTGAGAATTGGTTTGGTAGAAACAACCACTCCCACATGCAAAATTCAATCCTTTGATTAAAAAATTGACCCAAAAGGCCAAAGGGTTGAACTGGTCCTTTGGGTATTAGTAACACTGGCTTTTCACTAGGGATTCTCCTATGACTTTGTCTCGAACTCAGCTTTTGTTCCACAAAAGAATAAAATTTGTTTAGCTTCTAAAGTTAGTGACCTGGGCGAAGCTAAATCTGGATTTCCTTTGAGGAGTGAAAAAAGCAGCTTAAGTTCATCTGTGGATATTCCCAATATTGGTCGGATCCAATTAATGGACCCGAGTAGTTTCTGCAGGTCATTAAGTGTAGTAATGTTGTGATTTAAGGTTACTTGCTGTGGGGTGATAGTTGTTTCTGTGATCTTCAACCCAAGGTATTTCCAAGGAGGCTGGTACTGGATCTTGTCTTTCAAGATATGTAGATCATGTATTCTCAGGATTTCGATGATTTCTTGTAACACGTCCTGGACAACAGAAAATACTTCTTGACAGGTTAAAATATCGTCCATATAATCTAGGATAATAGCATTGGGATATTTAGCTCGGACAGCAGATAAAATGTCTGCAACGTATTTCTGACACAAGGTTGGGGAGTTGCGCATCCCTTGGGGCAATACTCGCCATTGGAATCTCCGTAGCAGCTCTGCTAAGTTAATTGAAGGGACGGAGAAGGCAAATTTAGGACAGTCAACAGGATTTAGGCAAATATGAAAGAAACAATCTTTTATATCGATGACTGCAAGGGGCCAGTTTTGTGGTAACATATTAGGAGAGGGCATCCCCGGTTGTAATGTGCCCATAGGTTCTATTACCTCGTTGATTTTTCTCAGATCTTGTAACAGTCACCATTGTCCTGATGATTTCTTAATAACAAAAACAAGGGAGTTCCAAGTACTGACAGACTCTTCAGTATGGTTTTTCTCTAATTGCTCATCAACTAATTGATTTAAAATGCGCAGCTTCTCTTGTTTTAGTGGCCACTATTCTACCCAGATGGGTTGCTGTGATTTCCACTGTAGTGGGGGTAGTGGCTACGCTTCAGTGGCCACCATCATAAATTTGACACTATAGAGACTCCCCATTGAACATGGCATCCCTGCCCCAAAGGGTAAGTGGCAGCAGTAGGACAAAAGGTTTAATATTTGCTTTTTTCTTATCAGGGCCATAAATGGTAACAACATTGGCACTCTGGCTCTGGGAGTGAGTGCCACCTACCCAACTGATGTTAATGAATGTTGTAGACAATGTCTAGTGAGCTTGCCAGTCCTTTTCTGCAATTATGGTAGCGTCCGCTCCCATGTCAGCAAGACCTGTGATAGTGGTAGTTTGACATGCTTCTAAAGAGAAAATAGTACACGTTAGCATAGGTCTTTGTTTATCGATGTTTTGGGTCCAATTTATTTCTATTGTCTCGCTGTTGGAGGCTAAAGACAACTGTGAAATAGAGAGTAGTCGAGGAATTGGTTCATGATCATAAATAACAACAGGAGGAAAGGTCACATGCACCTTAATGACTACATTATGAGGATCTAGGTTTTTAATTATTTGAGGAACAATGACAATTCCTTTAATTGATGCTTGCATGGTATTAGTCAATAAATAGGTTTCATCTCTTGAAATGTCTTCAGAAGGTAGAACTGGTTAAATAGAAGTCACTAATTAATGTAGATTCTTGTTCTACGGGTGTTAAATCAATCCAAGATAGCTTTACATGTCTGTTTCCTGAAAGGTCAGTGGGAGATCGGGATTGCTCGGTGGACACTGGCAGCGAGGGAGGGTCTTTTTTGTCCTCGCGCTCCCTCCCCCACAGCGCTCTTCACCCCATTTCCCTTCACAAATGATTTTTTAGGTACTGGGGGTGTTTTTGGTGGCAAGGGGTGTCCATTTATATCAAATTTTGAGCGACAGTCTTTTTGCCAGTGCCTACCTTTCCCAGATCGAGGACTTACCTGAGCTGGGAGTTGGGGAGGAGCACCATTAAGTTTTGGACATGCCTTTCACTGCCACCGCAGTGAAAACACTTGGGTGTCTCTCAGATAGCTGCTGCTTAAAGTTTTGTTTTGTACTTGTGGGACCCCACATCCATGCACGCTTCTATCATCTCTAGAAGTGTGGGGTTTTTAAGATGTTTTAATATTTTTCTGCAATCTTAATTTGCTTTTTGTAGTGCTCTTTTTTGGAAAAGCTCTTCTTGAGCTTCTGGATGGGTGATTTGTTGCAAAATGGCTTCACGTAGTCATGTGGCAAAGTCATAAAATGACCCTTCCACCCCCTGATGTATTGATGAAAGTGATGGGGTGGGGGTGGAGGCATCTGCGATAGCTTTAATTGCCTGGAGTGTGAACCCTTTGGTCTGATCCAGTTGTTCCAAAGGCAATTTGGCTTGCTGTTTATTTTCTGAGAAAGGCCCATCACCATAGAGTCTATTAATAATGTTGATGGCTGGAATGTTTTTATTAGCAAAAGTCTCTTGGACATATTTTCGAATGGCTGACTTCCACTCATTTTCAAACATCGTGTTTTGCATGGTTGTTAGCAAGCCTTTAGCTATGGTTCTTAGATCATTAGGTGTGAGAGTGTAAGCCACAAACAAGGATTCAATTAATCCTATGGTGAATGGAGAATTAAGTCCATAATCTTGTATGGCTTTTTTAATATCTTTTATTATGGGGAAAGAAAGGGGTTGCCACATTGGTGGCTTGCCCTCTTCAACATAAACAGGGAAAACTTTCATCCAATTTAAATCTCCAGTATCTTCGGCTTGCTTTCGGGTTAATTCCTATCTATTGCTGTTATCAGATTCATCAAGTTCACTATCGGTGTCATGGGTGGCGCCATCTTCGCAGAAGTTTACACCGGATATGTCATGCTTGCCACCATTTTTATGACCCCTGATCCTAACTGATTTCCAGGGTGGAGGAGATAACATCACCTCTGGGTCAGGGGAAGGAGGTGGGACTTGGGTATGACGAAGAACAGGCGTGGCTAAGAGGTTAGTTTTCCTGCTGTTTTGACTAGCCTTCCCACCTTTTCTCCTGTCGCCATCTTGTGGGGTGTTAGTTTTCCCACCTTCTCCTTCTTCCTCACTATCCCCCTGTTCACCATCTTGAGCTGAAGAGATGTTCTTATATAAAGAAAATCTCGATCCACCATCTTGTGACAATGATTTTTTATGAGGAGGAGGGCTTCTAGCTTTCTGAATTTTGTTTTCTCTCCTCTGTAAAATTATCAGGATGAGTCTCCAAGCGATAAGCGCTTTAATTCCTTCCTTTTCTCCTTTTTCACTTTCTTTCCTCAGTTTGTTGCCAATTTTGTCCCATTCATCAGCATTAAGATTTTCCAGGACATATTTCTCTTTCTTGTTAAGCCATTTAGCCAATGACTTTAGGGAATCTCTATCATATTTATGTCCATATCAAGTAATTATAGTTTTGAGATTATGGTATATATCTTTTTCAGCTGTAGAAAGGCAAGATCCCACGACTATCTTTCTTGAGTAAAGATAGAGAAGGTGGATAGTAGAAAAAAGTGATTTAGCCCCAGCTGCTCACCTTTTCTTTTTGGGTGCGAGGATCAGCCCACCAATTGATGCTGCATCCACCATTCAGCTGGGGTGACTGCTGGAGTGCTGCTCTCTATGCCACAGCACCAGTGCCCAGGTGGGCAGGCGAGTTCCTTCAATATGGAGGACCTACAAACCTGCACCATGTCTGGACGCCATTTAACGCAGCCTGGCTAGGGACATGGGGAAGTTCACTCAGCGTTCAACACAGGTTGTAGGTTGGAAAGGAGTGAACCATTTTATTAAAATGGCTCCCCCTTTTATAGGGAAGTTCGAAGAACTATCCAGAGTATGATAAACAAGGGGAGGAGTTGTGGGAAAGAAGAACAACGACTGGGTACAGAACATGAGGGGAGGAATTACAACAGAATATGCATAAGAAGGGAGTGAAACTCTTGTGGGATCAAACCATTGTAAAATTCGTGGGCAGGAATAAACCATCAGTTTAAAACATTAAGACAAACATTAACCTGTGATTTCTCTCCATTAAACAGTTTCAGTTAAACAAGTCCATTATCTTAGATCCAGTCATCTTCTTCTGCGATCTCCTTCAATGCTGCAGTCCAGTACTGGTAGGCTTTTCTCTCTAATTCTTGGGACTCTTCATCCACATGGAGGTTTTTAAGATGAGACTGGATGTGGCATTTAGTGCCATGTCCTAGTAACCACAGCGGTAGTGGATCAAGTGTTGGACTTGATGATCTCAAAGGTCCCTTCCAACCTTGCTGATTCTATGATTGTTCGCATTAGAGTGTTCCTGTCCCAAGGCACCATAGAATTACTAGAAGCAATAATTTCTACCGATCCCAGTGTGAAAGGACTTTGAATGCCATTTTCCGTTACAGATTTTTTCAATTCCTTGAATATTGGATATGGATATGGATATGGATATGGATATGGATATGGAACCGGCTCACGTGTAGGAGGCTGATTCAGATAGTAAACCACAGGGAAAGCGGAAGATAAATCCCCTTGCTTTAACGCTTCCTCAGTACAGAATTTCACAACTGTTTTTGCTGTGTGTCAAATATGTTCATCAGCGTCATTAACCCACTTATTCACAAAGTCAATAAGAGGGGAGGGGGTGCCATAGAGGGCATGGAATACAGATTTTTGGATTTCTCATTATCCGCTAACAATGTCTGCATAGGCATAAGGAGAGGGCATAAATCAGGTCCCATACCAGGATTTACGAGTCTTGGATCAAAAGGATTTACATCAGGACCGTTGTCTTTAACATTTTTCTCTCCGGACAAATCACAAACATGTTCCCTATCGTCCCCCTGTTCACCCTGTTTTTCACGAACTCTTTCTGCAGGTTGCAACTGAGACGATGCTGTAAAAATAAATCGCCAAGTCACAAAAAATTCATCTGCAATGTCAAGTCCCATTTGTTTTATAGCTTGTAAATATTCACCAACACATTCCCATATCTTACTATTAAATGAACCTTATTCTGGGAACCAATTACAATTACTTTTTACTCATAACAATAGGGAAGTCACCTGCCTGTCACTTAAACAATATGCTGAAGATTTTAAAATCTGCTGCAAAACTCAAAAATACAACTCATGTTCAATAGAAGCAGTCTGCCCCATCTCTAACACAACCCCGCTACTCCTTTTTCAACAAGTGCTGCTGTGCTCTATTCTGATAGAGCTGTGGCCACACAAAAAAATGCCCTCCTTTTATTATGTTTTTTTTTTCTATTTCTTTTTCTCTTCCTCTCTTTTTCTGTTTTTTCCTTTGCCTTTTTTTTTTCTTTTCTACTCACCCGTCATGTCGTGCGTTCACCACAGTGCAGAAAAATGACTCACACAGGGCACCAATTGCAGCAAAAGTCCCTCAGCACCCTTTTCGGCGAATGAATCCATGGGCAACTTTCTGGTAATTCTGCCCCCAGCCTGTAGCATGGCACGGGGTCGTTATGACCCGGGTGCAGGACCTTGACCTTGTTGAACCTCATGCAGCCTGTCCAGATCCCTCTGCAGAGCCTTCCTGCCCTCCAGCACATCAACGCTCATGCCCAACTTGGTGTTGTCTGCAAAGTGACTGAGGGTGCACTTAATTACCTGCATTGTTGATGAAGATATTAAACAGGACTGGCCCCAACACTGAGCCCTGAGGAACACCACTTGTGACCAAACACCATTTGGATGCAACTCCACCACACTCTGGGCCCATTTACACTATAACAAAGCAAATTGCCTAGTGGAACTGAGCAGTGGGGAGTTTGGTGAGAACAAAGAACATTTGTACTACCTGGTTAAGAGATGAAAGGTCTCTTGGGAGTTTTTATATAGGCTGTGACTCAGAGTCCCTTTTTGGAAGAGTGCATCAAATCTCACTACTTTATGGCTTTGTTAAACAGAATTTTGTTTTTCAGTGTACTTGTGTTTCTAGCCTTGAGACAGCACTTTCATTTTAGAATGCTAACTACTTTGGAAAACAAACTTGGTGAATTTTTCCACCTAGTTTCAAAATAAATATGGCAAGGGGGGAGGGATGGCTCTACCTGAAATGCAGGCACACACTTACATAAAAGTTCCTCACTATTCAGCCTATCTGCAAGCTGGTTTAAAGAGTTCCTGCAGTTGCACAGTTTTAATTCTGGAGTATGAAGTATTTTGTTCTAGTAACAACTGAGTAATTATTTTCAGTCCTCATGGGAAAGAACTTTCTTTGCTGGAAAAAGGAAGATTGTTTACATACATCTACTGGACTTTTAAAGTCAGGTGTCGTGTTATTTTTCAAAATTAATAGTAGCAGTATAGTAACCAATACTTTGTTCATATTGCCATTTGATATTTTAGATGATGCTCAGGAATGCGTGTGTGTCCACGAGGATGTATTTATCATTATGTCTTGCCCGTATCTAATTTTTTTCATTCAAGGAATAAATTAAATATCTAATTTCTTTTTTTATTAAGGGCCAAGTTCCAGCCTGGACATTTTTAACTAGTAAATATTTTGTATACACATAATGAAAGTTGCTGTGTCTTCACTAGGAGAAAGCGCACTGCCCCTCTAGTAGGGCTTGCTGCAGTGGCAGTCTATTGAGTGATACTAGATGCTACTGTCTGCATATGCTCTGTAGGTACAAAACTACAAACTCCAAATGATCTACGTAAAAGGGGCTTCTCCTCCTTAAGGTAACAAAGGTTTTATATGTAAGAAGGGGAGCCTGTGTCATCTTACATTTAGAACTCCGTGGACCTTTGACCTGATCTGTTTGAAAAATCACTAAGATCTCACTAAGATCTCACTAAAATCACCAGATCTCACTAAGTACCTTAGTGAGAACCTCTGAGGTGTTAAACCGAAGAATATAGTTACTTGAACCACTAAGGTGTGAAACCATAGTGCCATTATTCAGAAAACCAAACCATCTGAGAGACAGAAACCAAAGACTATAAATAAACAGTGAATTGTCATCATAACATGCAAACTAAGGTAGATGTGGAGAAGTGGGTTACTGAAGTGCTCTCTGGTAACTTTTTTTCATTTGCTTCTCAGTAACTTGACCAAAATTAGTAAGCAACTAAAGTGATAAAAGTTTGTGAAACACAATCCACTTAGTCGAGTTGAGAGGACTGTAAGCACAGTCCATGGTTCTGAAATATCTGACCAATGTGATAACAGATTAAATTATATTTTTAAATATTGAAGGCAACTGAGGGAGAGATGGTGAGGGAGGGGAAAGGACAACAAACCATTAGTTCAACATCCTGTAGTCCAAATTAACTCTGTCAGCTGGGCTTTGTGAGTAAAATTCATGTAAACTCCCACTGTTCATTGTGTACTTCATTAACAAAAATACAATGTGACATGCTCATTTAAAATCCAATGGAAACAATGGACTCTGATGATAGGATATAACAAATTGTGGAAAGTGTGCCTAAAATGACTGGGATTTTCAAACTATAAAAATATTATAGTTAAAAGTATAAAAA